GCTGTTCCAAAGGCACAGACGAGTCTAGGGTAGACTCTGCAAACCCCCTGTACTCACTATGTTCAAGAAGTCCAGCGGCGTCCCAATACAGAGATCCCAGTGCAGTCTGTCCAAAATAGCCAGCTCCATCCTTAGCACCTCACCTGGGGTATAGTCAGAGCCACAGTACCTGATGAAGTCCTTTATGCGTGGAATTAACTGTACAAAGACAATAAAGAGGCCAAAGCCCTGTAACACGGCATGGTAGCTTTTGTTTTCTTCCCCATGGGGCTGGACATCCGTGAGCCTAATAGCACTGTCTTCAAGTGACCTGACAGGAAATACTTCTGAGGGAAACCCCAACCCAGATCTAGATTGTCCAGTCCCTCGGTAGCTGTTACAATGTGTAGTGAAAATCACATGGTCACCCTCTGCAAACAGCTTTTGATCCCACCTGCTCTTCAGCTCACACCCAAAGGTGCTTTGGAGACAGGGGCTATGCCATCTTCTCTGTTCAGCGGTTGGAACTCACCCAAAGCTCTCCGGGACCTGTTCCTGAGCCCTACCAGGAATGCTTGTGGTAGAGAGAAAAAGTAGGCTTTTGAGTTCCGTGGTCTGCACCAGACAGCCTCCGTTTTGGCAACACCATAGCTGCAAACACACTCCCCTTAGGCTTGTTTTAAGGCAGTTCAGTTTTGGAAAGACTTTGACTCCCCCGCCCACCCCGCCCCGGACTAATAAGGCTTGTCTCTAAGTAAACATTCAAGTACCAAGTGCATTAAAGACTTGGTTCTGCTTTTTTAGATAAAGTATTACTATAACCGTTAGAAATCTTTCTTTTAAAGGTCACTTACTTGGTTTTTAGTTGGGCAAAGTAACCTTTGGGGACATAAATTATATTAAACAAAAATTAAAAGTATTTTCATTGAAGGTTTGGAACTGGACACAAGTGACTTCTTCTATCCCCTCAGACCCTGAGGTCAGCTAAGGGAGACCCGGTGGAAGTGGCAGTGGTTCCAGTATACCCAAAGGGGAGGGAGGGAGGTCTGGGAAGGGCACTGGGAGAGGATCTTCTCCTGAGAAGCCACCGAGAAACGTAGAAGTGAAGCAAGCCTGGAGCTCTGTGGAGGCTTCTCCTCCACCCCTGCCCGTCTCCAAAAGGGGTCCCAGAGTCCCTGAGGACCAGTTTCATGGGCACAGTCACATCTTAGAGTCTCAAGCACCTTTCTTAGATGTAGTGTCCAGGCGTGGACATTAGGCCACATGGTTTGTGAGGCCATTTTCTTAGCTCAACAGTAGATGCCTCTGCTTAGTGGGAGGTGGCATCTGGCATCAACCTATGAGGCAAGATCTATTTGCCAGGAGCGCGGGTTTGCGGGGCCAGGAGATGCAGCTGTTCTGACTCCATTTGTGGGCTCCCAGAGTCCGACAAGCCTAAGAAGGACAGCAGAGCCCTGGCCAGTGTGGCTCAGTTGATTGCGCATCGTTCTGTGCACCAAAAGGTCACCCGTTCGATTCCCGTTGAGGGCACCCAAAAATAAATAAATAAAACATTTTTTTAAAAAGGACAGCAGATATTGTGGGGAGTTAATAACTTTTTCAAAATGTCCACCATTGCCCAGCTGGTTTGGCTCAGTGGTTGAGCACCGACCTATGAACCAGGAAGTCACAGTTCGATTCCTGGTCAGGGCATATGCCTGGGTTGCGGGCTCCATCCCCAGTGTGGGGCCTGCAGGAAAAGCCGATCAATAATTCTCTCTCATCACTGACGTTTCCCTCTCTGTAATCAATAAAATATATTTAAAACAAAAGCAAAATGCCCACCACTCCCAAGTACACAGGAAACTGAGTGCTCCAGTGTTACACCCTGAGACCTCCAAGAGCAGTCCAGAGTGGACTCCAGGGGTGCCTACCTCCTCTTCTTCACTGACCTTCGCAGCAAGTCTCAAGCAGGCGATGGTGACAGTGTGGAGTAAGCTCTCCCTTATGTGCAGTGTGGGACAAACCAGTGAGTAGAAGATGAATGTCAGAAACAAACTGCGAAGCACTTGTGATTTTTTTTTTAAAGAAATTAAGCCCCCACCCCAACCTCCTTTTTAAAAGACTGTGTTCCTCCATAAACAAGTTAGTGGCAGCTTTAGATTTGACCAGTGGAACTGCTCCTGGTATCAGTAAGGACCGATGCCTAGTCAGTCCTCCTTTCCTCACTAGGGGACAGACCGGAAGGGGGAATGGACACCTTCTCAGGGAACCCGCAGTCCCATCCTGGCTCGGCCCAGCTGGACAGGTCCAGACAAGCACAGCCGACCTTATGGCACAGCAGGTCCCTTCTCAGTGAGGTCCTCCAACTCCAAGCCCCCACCCCCAACCCCCCGAAGCCGAGCATGGGGAGGTCCGCTCCCTCTCCCACACGCCTCCCCATCCCTCCCAGGGCTCCCTACCGTCGCTGAAGCCAGGAGGCTGCGGCAGGTGGTGAGCGCCAGGTTGGAAGCGGTGTGGGAGAAGGGGAAGAAGTCCCGCAGCCTCCCGAGCTGCAGCACGACTTCCTGCAAAGCGCGGCGGAGCTCCACCTGCTCAAAGCGGGGAGCGGGGACGGCGGGGAAGGTGGGTGGCGGCTGGGCCCGTCCACCCGTGTCAGGAGCCGCCTGCTTAAGGTGAGCAGCCCCTTCGCCTTAGTGGGATAAGGACACATATGTAATAGCTTAATCAATAAAGAAAAAAAGGAGAAAACATCGCGGAGGGGGAAGCGCCTCCCTGCGGCCCCTCCCCGCGCCCGCTCCCCGTCCGGGGCAGAGCTCCCCACCCACAGGCCGTTGGAGCACCTACTCTACT